CATTCATTGCTCCGCTGCTGAGCGCCGCCGGCCGGCCCCAGGGCTCCGGGGCTGCCCCTGCGGGGCGGGAGGCCGCCATGGCGACCCTGGAGAAGCTGATGAAGGCCTTCGAGTCCCTCAAGTCCTTCCAGCAGCAGCAGCAGCAGTCGCCGCCGCCGCCGCCTCAGCCGCCGCCGCCTCGGCAGTCGTCTCAGCCGCCTCAGCAGCAGGAACCGAAGTCGCCGCCACCGTCCGGGTCGCCGGCCGCCCGCAGCCATGGAGGACTTCATCGTGATCTCGGACGACAGCGGCTCCGAGAGTTCCGGGGGGGCCCGCCCGGGCCGGCCGCGGAGGATCCGCCGGACCCTGTCCCGGGCTCCCGGCGTGCTGCCCCGCCGGACCGTGGTGAGTGAGCGAGCTGCGTAGCCGAGCCGGACCGTGGCGGGTGCGCCGTCTCGACGCGGGCCGCTCATCGCGACCCTCGGCCGGGCCCGCAGCCTCAAGCGTCCCACTGCCCTCACCATGGCGCCTCGCAGCTGGGGCCGCTTCCCGCCTTGCCTCCTGCCCAGGCCGGCAGGATAGCGGTGGGCCTGGACCTTGTCGGCTGGGCCTCGGGGCCCCGCACCCCAAGAATGAGTGGGCTGAGAGGCTGCAGAGGGGCGGCCGTGCACATGGACCACGTCCTGGGGCGGGGCACCCAGGCCGAGGTCGGGGGCCGGCGGTCTGAGGCCCTGCCTTGGGCGTCTGGGACCAAGTCCGGGCTGGGGAGGCGTTCTGGGGTGCGGGAGCACAGGGAGTCCTGGGGGGAGGTCGGACCTCGAGGCGACGACGCAGGGGCGTGTAATTGTCTGGCTTGTGGTGGATACACAGATGTGCAGGGAGGTAACGGGAGCCCAGGCTGGGAGGGAAGGAAGCAAGGGCCTGGGCCATATGGTGGCCGTGCTCCAGGGCCTGGCAGCCGAGTAAGGGGCCCGGTTTTGGAGCAGTGCAGGAAGGTGATTTACTCCTCTTAGTAAGCACCGAGCTCTGCTGGAGTAAAGAGGGAAAGATCGGGTACTATTTCTTTTTCCCTATGGCTTCTTACAAAGTCAGGGCAAAGTAGGGCTTTGTCTTTCTTCCTGAGATGGTGAGTAGAAGAACATCGATGGCCCTGCCTTTCTAGAATCCTCCACAGGTATTTAATGAACCCTGTTATAGACCAGACGTGCTGGGAGCTGGGGCTTTAATGGTGACCATCACATCCGTTATCGCTGTGATAGAATGCGATATATTCAACAAGTGGCTTCTGAGTACTCGAGATGAGAAATAGCAGGCTTTCCCTCTATCTGAGGGAGGGAGGAAGCAGAAATAAAAGAATGATCACACTCTTGTTTTTTTTAATATACATCCTTAACAGAGTTAAAGGAAAACATGACACTTCATATGTACATACTACTTCAAGACAAATCTCCTAACTTCTGCTCTTCCAAACACCCTTCCCAGTAAGTTGGTGGCCCCTCAGTTTCGCTGCGAGTCTCTTATATGTCGCGGTGTAGTGCCAAATGCTAGGTGGTCACTGGAGAGAAGATGGCATGCAGAAGTAATATAGCATGCCATGTTGCCACTGTTCAAGAGGGATTCTCAGTAATTCTCCACAAAGTATTTAGATGAGATGAACAGACATGAGATTTTCAACTTCGTGTGCAAAGGGGTGCTGTGGCAGGCAGTATTTGGGACATCACAGATCCATGACAAATATTTGTTGGATGAAAGAATGGTAGTGAGAGGGAGAGAGCCTAGTTCCGGTGGATGTTTGATAACATCCAGAAGCCAAGTACAAGAAAAGGAGCAGGCTTGGGATGAAGGGAATACTGCATTCAGTTTGGACCTCAGAGGAGCTGAACTCTGGAGAAAAATAAGGAATGGACAGATTTGGTAATGTATAGGGAAGAGAGTACTGAGACCTAACATGATTGAGAAAATCGAGGAAAAGAATATAGAGAGCAAAAACAGGAGGAAAAAATCCCACAGAATAACTCACAACTACTCCTCCAGGCTCCTCTTCTTTCCTCTTGCCTCTTCTCTCATTTGCCCTTAACTTTGTTCTGCGTACCTAACTTCCTTTCCTCACCAGAGCTGTCTGTCTTCCTTCATTACAGTCCAGCTTTCTTCAGTGCACAGATGCTTTATTTCAAGCTGTTGTGTCTATTGCGGCCCTTCACTCACACATATGGGTGCTTTCTCAAATTGCTCATCTCCCTATGACTGTCCAACCAAGCATTTTGATACTGAGTCTTATGAATTAAAGAGAAATGAAAAACAAGTCCCCGGGCATAACACCCAATGTAAATCTTACTTCTCCAGATACTTTTTCAGCTTTCTAAAACATTCCAAGCTCTTTTTATCTTCCTTGCAAATAAGGACAATAGGAAAATCATGTAAAAGATAAGGGACCTAAGAGATTTGCAAGGTTATAAAGCTTAAAGTGCATTTATTTCAGCTCTCCCTGAAAGCCCTGAGGGTCAAAGAGACTTCTGTTCAAATTAGGAATCCCCGCACATAGCAGCTGTGTGAGGTTTGGCAAGTGCTGTCTCCCCCTTCAACCTTGGCTTGTTAATATTCATACCTACCTGGCAGAACCTTTAGAGGTTTTTAATGAGACAGTGCAAGAAAAATACCAGTATAAAGGATAACATTTGCTAACATTGTGTTGTAGCAGACCTGACATTCTCAAACTTGGCAGACAAATTAAGGGGGAAAAAAAGTTTCATAATTTTTTTTTCTTTTACAAATTTTCTAATATTCCCACCTTGCTGCCTGCCCAGGCCAGCAGGATCGTAGTGGGCCTGGGCTGGGTCAGCGGGTGTCAGGGCCCTTACCTCATGAATGAGTGGACTGAGAGGATATCCAACGTGCTTGAATTTAGGAAATCTGAAAAACATCTCCACTCTTAAATAATATTTCTGGACTTCTGGTTCTTAACTTCGGCTTTAGTCTTCATTAAATTTCTGAAATGTGTCTGTTTTCAGTAATACTTACTGCTTTTTTCCCCCTACTTATAAAAACAACATGCTCAGGTCATTTTGACTGACCTCATTACAAAAAATTTAGAAATGTGTGTTAATATTTTAAAGTAGGTCTATCTCATCTTTCATCTATAAATGCATATGTGCACACATACAAACTTGTATGTCCCCACTATGTTTTTGTAAAAATGAAGTTTTGCTCTTTATGTAGTTTTTATATTTTTTATCTTTTCCCACACCAATAAATATCTTCACCAATATTTTAATAAATTTCATTGTGTAGGTTTATAATGTTTATGATCTCCTATTAATGGATATCATGCTAAATTTTCTCTTATAAACAACCAGTGAGGAATTCCCTTATAAATAACCTTGCTCATTTGTTTGTTTAGGCTACATTTCCTCTGAGAAGTGAGATTGCCGAGTCAAAAGGTATGCCTCCTTTAAGGTCTTTGAAATATTTTGCCAAATTTCCTACAGAAATAGTACACTAATTTTGTTTTCTTCAGCTCCTTCCTCCACTACCGGGACATCCATAGGTGTCATCAACTTATTCAGGAAATATTTATTGAACACTTACTAAAGGCACATCTCAGAGATGTTGCTGGTTTGATTCCAAATCATCATAATAAAGCAAATACCACAATTCAGTGAGTCATACGAATTTCTTTGTTTTCTATTCCATATATATATGTGTAAGCGGTGCTGTAGTCTGTTAAGTGTGCAATGTCATTATGCTATAAAAAAAAAAGTACATATCTTAAATATACTTCATTAATTAAAAATGCTAACCATCACATGACCCTTCAGCAAGTTATAATCTTTTGCTGGTAAAGGAAGCCTCGTACCTCGATGTTGATGGCTGCTGACTGAGCATGATGGTGGTTGCTGGAGGTTGGAGTGATTGTCTTAAAATAAGACAATGAAGTTTGCTGCATCAGTTGTCTCATCCTTTCATGAACGATTTCTCTGTAGCATGAAATGCTATTTGATGGGATTTTACCCGCAATATAACTTTCTGAATTGGAGTCTGTTGTCTCAGACCTTGGAACTGTTTAACTACATTTATATAATATTCTAAATTGTTTGTGGCCATTTCAACAGTGTTCACCAGGAGTAGATTTAATCTCAAGAAACCACTTTCTTTGCTCATCTATAGGAAGCAACTCCTCATCAAGTTTTATTGTGAGACTGAGCAATTCAGTCACTTTGTTTGCCTCCACTTCTAATTCTAGTTCTCCATCATATCTACAATTACTTCCTCCACTGAGGATTTTGAAACTACTTAAAGTCATCCACAAGGGTTGAAGATTCTATCTCCTTCCATGAATCACAGCTGTTCTTATTGGCATCTAGGATAGTGAATCCCTTCCAGAAAATTTTCAGTTGACTGCCTGGATTCATCAGAGGACTCTCACTATGGCAGTTATAGCATGTGAAATGTATTTCTTCAATAAGATTAAAAGTCAGAATTGCTCCTTGATTCATGAACCACAGAGTAGATATTAGCGGACTTGAAAACAGCATTAATCTTGTACATCACCAGAGCTATTGGATAATTAGGTGCATTGTTAGTAAGCAGTAATATTTTAAAAGCAATACTTTTTTTCTGAACAGCAGGATTCAAGAGTGGTGTAAACTGAGTTGTAAACAGATGTCATATAGGTTTTAATCTACTTATAGACCACAGGTAGCATAGACTTGGCATAGTTTAAACGGCCCCTGGATTTTTGGAACGATATTGTGTACATTGTATTTAACTTGAAGTCACTTGTGCTAGCCCCTAACCCAGTCCTTTGAGCTTTGAAGGCAGGCATTGACTTCTCCTAGATGGTATCTTCTACCAATACAACTCTGTTTTGTTTGCACTGAAAATCTGTTTTTAGAGAAGCCACCCTCATCAGTGCTTACTATGGCTTCTCCATTAGCATTTGCTATTTCTCCTTACACTTCTATGTTAGAGATAGCTTCTTTCCTTAAACTTCATGAAAAATCCTCTCCTAGCTTCAAACTTTTCTTCTGCAGCCTTCAAAGAAACAATGAGAATTAAGACCTTGCTGTGCTTTGTCAGAGTGCCTGGTATATACAGGTATGCCTTGTTTTACTATACTCTACAGCTACCGTACTTTGTACAAATTGAAGGTTTGCGGCAACCATGTGGAATGTTTTTTGAACAAGACCCTGCCTTCACAGAGCTTTGACATTAGGTAGGTGGTAGTAAGCAATCAACAATCATATAAATGTTATGTCTGATAATAGATTGCTAGGAAGAAAAAAAGTCCTTTTTATTCTTGTTATCTTTGCTGATCTATACCCAGATTCTGTGAGATGTCATGGTTTTGATTTTTCTCTTTAGTTGCATTTCATTCTTTCAGTAAACATTGAATATTTGCTCTGATG